GAAAATGTATGATTGTGATTGAGTAAGAAAAAGACAAATGAATGTAAGTCACACAAACTTTTCATGAAAATGAGAAGAAAATTTTAGGACATCATAAAATGGCAAGTATGATGAATTTTGTGGGATAGAAAGAGCATCATATTATATGTAATTATGTATGAATGTATGATAAGTGAGAAGAATTTTGTGAGCCGGAGGGAGTATCATATTATTTGTATTAATGTATAAAAGAATACATATAAATATATAATGACCATCGCGCCTTGCTCCCTCTAAAGTCTACACACACCCCTACATTGCAATATTATCTTGCAATAAAATAATCAAAGTCTAATAAAATAAGATTAGCATGTAAAGCTAAACTGATTATATTTCTACAACATAGGACATTCAAAATCTGATTAAATCTATAAAATAAACGATGTGAAAATTAATTGTCATGTTCAATATGATGAATTTAAAACTTTATGTCCGAATCAACATAATTGTATACTAGTAATTGCTACGAAATTTCCATGAATATGCGTAGTCATTGAGTTCACTCTTGTAAAAGGGCGTTCTCTCGAATATGGCAGAGTGAATGTGTGATACGTAAATACTTTATGCTCACAACTCACAAATACATTTGAAAATAAGTTTGACACGCTTATTATCAAAGGTAAATGGTCATAGACTCATGGTACTTATTGGAATTGCAAGCATATTTAAAATAAAAATTTATATAAATGTAATTGTTTTATTTAAAATGAAAAAAATATCACGACAAAAAAATGAAAAAATATCTTCCTCTATGTTCTTCTAGCATTTCAGATTCATAGTCAAACAAAGCACTCTTATGTTCAATTAATGAAACTAAAATTCCGTGTCAAGAAAAATTTTCAGTAGTAGACTAGTAGCTCAACAATATGTTTCGTTCCTTCGATCCCAAAATTCAGGAGGGCGAACTAAATAAATAGAGATGTATCCTACAGAATCGGGATATGATGGATGAAATGGAACATCGTGTTAGAATTTTCACGTGATCGAGATATGCTGATTAGACTAAAAGATAATTTTTTTGAACAAAGTAACTAGGTATGTATTATTGAATGTCACTTTTAAATATGAGTGCGATTGAGATGTGTATGCTGCGTTGGATGTGTGAATACACTAAAAGATCATTTGAGACATTGAGAAAATCGCAAAAAAAATGGGAGTAACACTTATTGAAGTTAGGATGCAAGAGTCTCGATTGCTTAGCCATATCCGTAAAAAAACGAGTGATGCACTTTTGGCCGTATCGATATGTATATATATATTAAAAAAAAGAAATAAGAAAATAAAATGTATATTTATTTCCTTTTTTTTATCTTTCTTAGCGGCTTTATCTTTTTATTTTATATTATCTTTATCTTATTTTTTTGTTATCGTTTTTCAGAAGAAATTCCACTTATGGCCCTTCGAGTTTTGCACCAATTCCACAATTAGTTCTCGTCTTTCACTTTATCTATTTTTGGTATCTGACTATGTTTTTCTTAACCATATATAGTCCTTTTCCGGCAGTAAAAATGTCCAGAGATGGACCGAAAATGGTCAAGAAAATAATAGTCAAGTATTAAAAATGGATAAAGTGAAAGACGAGTACTAAATATGAAAATGACACAAAACTCGAAAGAGGGAAATTAATTCTCGTTTTTCATGTTATCTTATCCTTTGTGGCTTTGTAGTTCTAACGGAGTATTTCATGTTGATTGATGTGAACCGATTCCAAAAGCGGGGATGTAGGTGTTGTTCAATAGCTTAACAATTTATGTTATTTTAGAGAAAAATATTTTTGAACAAATATCAAGATTAAAATAGTCTGAAGACACTCAATTTCTACTAAGAGCATGTACAATATTATACTCCGTACAGTACTTAACAAAGGAATATATTTAATTATCCTAAGTTTGAGAGACAATTGATAATTTTACGAAACTTTATGATAGATAAACGTAATTAAACTGAGGATGTATATTACTCAATATAACTAAAGGGAAACAAATTGAATTTTCATAATTGATTATTCGAGATTTTTGTCTTGGCGAGAACTCCGGTACCCATTTAAAAAATGGAGTACTCATGGGCGGAGTTAGGGGTGGGCCAACCTAGGCCATGGCCCACCCCAAATTTTAAAAATGACTTAATTTTTAAGGTAAAAAATTTCGTTTAATTATTTTTCTAAAATATTCTTTGTACCGGTCCAGTCCAACCCAGTGCACTGGCTCCGCCTCTGGGGGGTACCGTACCTACTGCTTACTTGATTGGTCCAAATATGTATATCATTTTTAATTTAGACTTAAATAATTCAACTGCAACATTCTGATTGGTCCATGTGGACAAATGTATGGTACCTTATGAGTACCATGTAATCTACCTTTTGTTTTTTTGTCAAAATTATTCTAAATTTAAAAATAACATTATGAAGGTGAGGATGTAAAATTGAAGTTGGCGCAATTAGTCTGCCTTCCCAACAGTGTGGAACTGAAACCCAATCTAGAACTTTCCAAATCGAACTGCAAAAGATTGTCTTCCATTTGGTGACCGCCGATGACGATTGAAGTCACGGGAATCCGGCCTCCGTCCACCACCACCAGGCACAACACACTCTTCCCGGAATCCCGCAGGTCCACCATGGAATTCGCCCCGTGATCGTCCAATTCGCACCCTTCCCTCCCAGAACCAGAGTGATCCACGGCATCGATGGCCCCACACGAGCGCTGAGAATGTCCTATGCACCGAAACACACCTCGAAAGGCGCAACCGGCGTTGCCGTTCTGGTAATGTTCGCCATACCCTTCAGCAGAAAAGTCGGAGCGCAACCGAAGATGAATCGAGAGACCGCGGCGGGCCTTCCCGGAGTCGACCTGTCAGTCGAAGCAACGGAAACAACGTCCTCCTCAAACTCGCCGCTGGTGTAGGCGGGGAAGATGGGACTGTAAGGAAAGACGCCACAAGTGTTATTGTTACAGCCAGGGCGTCGGGCGAGGAACAGAGTAGCAATCTGTGCAAATGATGGAATGGACGAGGGAGCATTGGGCGGAGCGGCACCGGACCGGGCGGTAAGAAGAGGAGACGTATTTCTGGTCTCAATCAACCCACAGGAACTCGCCGCCGAGATGAAGGACGAGGGTGACAGGCACAAGCGGTGACCTCTGGTTGAGTGGAGGCGTCTTTAGTGACAGGGGCGACTAGAGCTTTAGGGCGAAAGGACTGGGCCGAAGATGAGGAACCGAGAAGGAGAAGGATTGAGAAAGAGAAGGAGAAGGATGAAGCCGCCATTGCTGTAAATGAGGTGGCGGAAGTTCCCAACTATTTATACACGCAGTTTTGATCCATTTGTACGCGGAAAAAAGGCCACCGGCTGGTTACTACCTTTTGTCAACGATTATGACAAGTTCTAATTTGGGTTTGACTAAATAAAACAAATATCCATAAGTATAGTTCACTTCATGCTAATATCAGTTATATAACTAATACTGATATTATTCATTCCGTATATATTATGAAGGGGAAATCTCAGATACCTTGATATCAATTGGCAGGTTAGTAGAGCCTTTTGGTCCAAAACGTCGGAAAATGCTGCAGAATGGAGAGTTTCTAGTTAGCGGATCTAAACAAATATTTAATCGTCAACTTTACCCTTTCGTACTCTTCCTTTTCACATTCGCAGACCTCCTCTCTAAAAGAAAATTATCTAGACACGTATGTAAGAGATACACTTGCAATACAACACTAAAGACTGAATATACTAGTTTGCAAAGATAATGAATACGTAGGAGATCAAGAACACAATACTTTCTTCACAAATCTTTCTTTCATTCTTAGGGGAAAAGTCCAGTACATTCGGATACAAAAAACCCCTAAAAAGCATGCATAAATACAACCATGAAAATGCAGTTACCAAACCCACGCACCTAACTCCTAAAATGTCTCCTACGTGTGTGCATGTGTGGTTTGACCATATCCACCCACATACACACGTGCAAAATGATGCATGAATAATAAATACATAAAACTTTAAGGGTTAAAAAACAAATGCAAGAATAAAACAAACGTGACACACAAAACAAGTTTAAACATTCCACAACGTATTCTCTCAATGCTCACTCTTCTTTCTTTCTTTTTGGTTTCACCGCATATGTCGGATTTTTCTTCCTTTAAAATATTTTTGTGTCGTGCCGACTGTACCTTCTACCTGCAGAATTTTTTGAGAGCATTATATTGTTGTGTTTCGTGGTCTTTCTTAAAATGTGCTTAGTGCCCTTATGAGAGGATTGTGCCATACTATGGCAAAGTGTTTATACCATGCATATATCCTACATTTTTTTTGTATCCTACTTATTTTCGTGCCATACATGATACATGAATGACCACTTAAAACGTATGGATATCCTTTTTGACTTTTTGTCTATTACGGAGTAACACCTAAAACTGAACATCTAAGTTCTAAACATCTTTTTCTAACTCGTCAAACTAATCCGCCGGTCAAATCTGCTAACTCAATCTACTATTTAGAATCCGCTGACTCAATTCGCTAACCGCGATCCGCTAACCACTAAGTGCCAAACAAGCCCTTATGATGACATTATTAAGCTGATCGAGGATGCAAAATTGAAATTTGTTCCTGGCATCGTTTGTTTTTTCCGCGGGTCGCATATTAACCGCTACATTTTGCAGCGTTTTGGTATTGAAATTAATTAACGGTTTGCTCAATCCGCTATTATCCAAACGAGGGTGTGTGTCTGTTTGGCACTCAGCGGATGACATATTTTCCGCGGATGATATATTTTATTAGCGGATAGTAAATCGCAAATTTGACCAGCGGGTTTGTTTAGCGAGATGAAAAAAATGTTTGATAAATTAGCTGTTTGCTTGCAACGATTAATAGGAAAAAAGACCAAAATGGACATTATAAAATTTTAGCATGTGTTTTTTCATTAATTTAAATTTAATACTATACTAATTTATACGTACATAATGTAAAAATGCCATTATTGTAGTGTTATGAAATGGTTGATTTTTTTTAGAGATAATTCCCTGATTAGGAGTAAAACATACCTAATGTGCAAAAGTAGGAGTCCTATGTCCCGTAAGATGGAATAAGAGTAAAAAAACATGAGTAGACAAAACTACACTTAATGAAAACCCTACATGTTTATTAAATTTAAAAATAGAATAATACATAAAATAATACATAAAAACATATCCAACATTTGTTTGTGCCTGCCACAAGTGGACAACAACACCGCCTAGAGCTGCCACTGCCTAAACCTGCCACCGCCGCCGGACGTCATCGCCGCCAGTCTCCGCCGTCGTCGGAAATCACCGCCGCTAGTCTCCATCGTTGTCGAACATCACTGGCATCGCCATCTCCTCTGCTGCCTGAGCCAATATTGCCACTAGGGATCTCCGTTGCTGCCGCTCCCCGGCGCCGCCGGTCTCCGGTGCCGCCAGTCTCCGACGCCGCCGGGCTTCGTTGTTACCAGTTTCCTGCGTCATAGGACCGCCTCATTCACTGTTGCCATCGGATTATATTTCACCTTGCTCCAATCGCTCTTGTCTCTTGTGACTCCACCACCACCCACAAATCTGGAAAAATGATTTAAAATGCCACTTTATAACTTGAATGCCATCATAATGGCATTCATATTAAAACATAGGAGGATTCATTGTCATTTTGACATTGTATGACATTATAATATTGTATTGAGGAATGTCATATATTGACATGTATAATGGAGCTAGTGCCATACACAAATGACACTAATTGTCAAAAACATGATTTATTAACTGTGTTATGACATTAATTACCAAAACACAAGATTTTATTGCCATCTTAAAATGACACTATACTTGCAATAATATTACGTTATTTCCATCTTGATAAAGGAATGATTAGAATATAATATTTGTTTTAGCTTTCATTTTCAAAAAAAGTGAAGTTATTTTTTAAAATAAGTTAGTAGAAATAGAAAAAATAGGAAAACTGATTTAAAAATTTTCAATATGAAAATTTGCAGATCTCAATTACTAGTAATAATTTTCAATCCAAAATTTGTAGATCTCTACTACTCCTAATAACTTTCAGTTAGAGTCTAGATCTAAAATAAATGAAAAAATTAATGGAGAATAACAAAAAAAAAAAATAAAGAGAAGAAGACAAGAGAGCACAGGGGCAAGGAGGAGGAAGAGGGAGAAGAAGATGGAAGAGAAGAAGATGAAGAAGAAAAAGAAGAAACACGAGAAGAAAACTCACCTAGACGTCCAGCTCTGCCGCCACACATACAGTCGCCTATCTCCGCCGCCACACAGTCGCCAATCTCCGCCGCCGCACGGTTTGGTGTGCCACCTCTGTTTTCCGACTACTCGACTAGGATGTGCGCCCCCTCCAATAAATCTTCACAGCACATGAAGGATTTGTTGCGGTACATGCTCTTCTAATTTGAAAAGGAGAGAGGCATTTAATATAATCCACGGTTGATCAATTGATTGAGTTGGAACATTGAAATCCATGGGAAATACTACCTTCATAGGTATGCAGAGAGATAAGCAGCAGGTGGAAGGAGTGCTTGACAGCTATGTGTGTGACAGGTATTGAAGACAGAGACAACTTGGAGTATTAAATGTTGGAGGGTAAATTTGGAATAATCAATTCAATGAACCGGGTAGTCAATTAAAAAGCTCTTATTGGAACTTCTTTATTGTTTTACTCCTATCTTAGGCAATTACTCTTTTTTTTTTTTACCTGAAGATGTAATATTGAAGTTGGCGCAGTTGGTCTGCCTTCCTAACAGTGTTGAACTAAAACCCAATCTCGAACCTTCCAAGTCGAACTGCAAAAGATTGTCTTCAATTTGGTGACCGCCAATGACGATTGAAGTCCCAAGGTTCCGGCCTCCGTCCAACACCGCCAGGCACAACACATTCTTCCCGGAATCCCGCAAGTCCACCATGGAATTCGTCCCCGTGATCGTCCACTTCGCACCCTGCCCTCCCAGAACCAGAGTGATCCACGGCACCGATGGCCCCACACGCGTGCTGAGAATGTTCTCCGCACCGAAACACACCTCGAAAGGCGACACCGGCGCTGCCGTTCTGGTAATGTTCCTCTCGGCGGCCTCCTTCACGAACGCCGCCGTCACCGCCTTAAAGATGGAGGTTTCCATCACCGTGTAAGGATCCACGGTGCTGATCCTCGTTCCTACGTTGCCCTTCTTGTCAATTGCCAACAACGACGTGTTCAGCTTCACCTCTTTGTCCCCAATTTGGATCGATTTCACGCCGATGAAGTACTCCGACGAAGCTCCGGCGGAACTCACAGGGTTGATCAGCGGAGTGTATGTCAGGAGCTTTGACGCATCGATATTGGGGAGTAAATTATACGGCCCGTCGCCGTAGAAGACAACGCCGGTCGATGACGTCAGACAAATGGCAAAATTCCGGCGGAAGCTGAAACCGGAGGAGAACTGTGAAGGGATCCCGACCTTTGTCCTGCCCAGACCCGCAATTCCTGTTGCGCCCTTCGCCAGACCCTTCAGCACAATAGCCGGAGCGCAACTGAAGATGAATCGAGAAACCGCGGCGGGTCTTCCCGGAGTTGACCCGTCGGTCGAAGCAACGGAAACGACGTCCTCCGCGAGCTCGCCGTTGGTGAGGGTGAGAGAGATGGGATTATAAGGAAAGGTGCTGCAAGTGTTATTGTTACAGCCAGGGCGAGGTGCAGAGTAGCAATCTCCGCAGGCGATGGGCCCAGCGAGGGAGCACTGGGCGGACCGGCACCGTACCGGGCGGTAAGAAGAGGAGACGTATTTCCCGGAGCAGTCAACCCACAAGATCTCGCCGCCGAGATGAAGGACGAGGGTGACAGGCACTAGCGGTGACCTCTGGTTGATTCTGGTGAGGTATTGGAGGGTGGAGGCGTCTTTAGTGACAGGGGCGACTAGAGCTTTCGGGCGGAAGGATTGGGCTGAAGATGAGGAACAGAGAAAGAGGAGGATTGAGAAACAGAGGAGCTCAACAATGGAGGATGAAGCCGCCATCGCTGTCTTTGAGGGAAGTAGCTAGGCGGATGGTCCCAATTATTTATACACCTTATTTATATGCAGCAGTACTGTTGGAAAGATTTGTGAAAACGGTTTGACTAAATTGGGTTTGACTGGTAGTCTGGTAGCATACTACCTTTTGTTAACGATTATGACTCGTTCAAGTTCTAAATTGGGGTTGACTCAAAATAAAGTCAAATATCCATAAGTATAGTTCAATTAATGCTAATATAGCTCAACGATAGTATTATAAATGGGAAATTTCAGATCCATAGTTAGTACTTCTACCTCCATCCCATTTTATTTGTCTCACTTTGACTTGACACAATTATTAATAATGTGATTGAAAAAGTAAAAGTTGTGGTTGATGTTTGAGTATAATAAACTGAAATGGTGTAAGCCACATATTTCTTTCCAAAAGAGGAAAGAATACACTTATTTTGGGACAATCCAAAAAGGAAAGTAGGACCGGTCAAATGTCACATTTTCATTTATTTTATAAATGTGATTTCCAAATGTCCAATTTTCTGTTAATATCATTGAATGTCATGTTAGATCAAAAAACAAAAGACAAGGATGACATTTGAAAAAAAATTGAACGGCCTAGAGCATCCACAATGCTTAGATGTCTAGTCCTAAAAAATTATGCCAAATGGCTAAATATTACGTAGTAATAGGCTTTCTACTTGAGTGTAATGACTGGATACTAAACTTTAATAGAAGCCTCCAATGCACCACGCCTCACATCAAGTCTAATGTCTATTTCGTTTTTAATTAGTATTTCTTCCGTCCCAAAATGGTTGACCAAATTTTTCATTTTAGCCGTCCCAAAAAGGTTTGTCATTTCCATTTAAAGTAAGGAATATGTGGCTACAATTAATTCTCTCTCCTCTGTACAAATTTCAACCACACAGTTTTTACTTTATTAATTCACATGCAAGTCAACATTGGCCAACGATTTTGGGACAGATGGAGTATATTAAAATAATACGGAGTACTAAATTTTACTGCGTAATATACTTCATATGTTGTTTACCAATGGCCATGTAATGTATACACACGCTGACACGCTTGACCCGCCTTTACACCCACATAGTCTCCAATGGATGGTCACAGATTCAGTTTAGTTGTTCACGTGGAAAGTAGATCGGCCGTCGGCGGAATAAGCCCAGATCTGCCTATTCCACGATCGGAAAGGAGGTCGGCGTCTCGACGATGAGGATGATAAAGAGAAAAAAATTGACATACCAGACAACCAATTTGTGAACATAGTTCGTTGTTTCAATGATTTGAAGAAAGAAGTTCTGTGAAATGAGGTATGTGGGGAGAGAGACGGGGTGGTTTTCAATTTTTTGTCTCAAAATTGCGTTCAGCGGTTTTTTCAATAAAATTTGGTGACTCAGCAAGTTCTTAGGCCTTTCTACACCTGGAAACCCATGTTCACAGTGTGCGATTGTTTTTTGCCAACTCAGCCTATAGACTACATGCATTGGAGACATTTTAATGTATATAATGTCTAATGGTGACAACTCCGGTACCCATTTAAAAAATGGGGTATCATACCTGTTGGGTTAAGGGCCCAAGCCGAGGTCCGGCCCACTAACCCATTTGGCCAGACGAACGTCTAGTTAGAACACTAGGCCAGCCCACAGGCCCATGTTCCTTAAGGATGGACGAACGTCTGGGGTTGGGGGTTCAGGCCCAGCGGCCCCTCCCGACGAGCGTCACTGTAGGGACAAGGAGCAGGGCCACGGACCACCAGGGATGACGACGAACGTCCCCATGGCAAGCCTATAGTCATCGGAGGGAATCCAGTCCACAGGGTGAGTATCCGTCAAGGCCAGGAGGCGAACAGCCGGTATCTCCTGAGGGTCACTTGGGGCGATCCAACTCACCTCCCGGGCGGACGAACGTCCCCACTGATTGGGCGGGAAACCTAGATTCTGGCGGGAAGTGCATTTAATGCTGAAGATTTGGTGGTTGGGGCACCAGCGGTCCACAGGCTGCCACGTCAGTATAGCCACCTGCCCATTGGTGGGTATAAATAGAAGCATTTATTTCATTGTAAAGGGTTGGCAACTTTCTATTCTTAGCATACTAGCTTCAGCACTCTTACTCGCAGCATTTCTAACTGCCTTGTAAGACGAACGGCCGACGTGCCTTCTTTAGCAAGTAGATTGTACTTAGGGGAGTTATTACGAAGTCAATAATACCTATCTACATTGCCTGCTATTTCTCTTGCTTCCTGATCCATCTTATAGCTGTTGGGCTAGATATTCATACACCTACTCCACTCGAAATCTTTGGGCTTACGTGTTGGGCCCGAGGGTTGAAGGAATAAACCTCAACACTGGCGCCGTCTGTGGGAAACTGAGCAAAACGTTTCCAGGAACTCTCCCAAACAGCTACTAAGTCTACCTACAGCAACACGATGTCAGGAAGCAACAACCAGCGTGATCTCTCCGAGCGTCTGGAATCAAGCCGCCGGAATCGCGGCCAGAACTCGGAACTATCCGCAACAATATGGACCTCTGGAGGAAACGGGGGTATCACTGACCTCATTCCCCTGGAGGCCAGGCAGGATCCCCGCCTCATGCGGGAACTTGCAGACACCATGCGTCGCTTGGCGGACGAGCGGGAGGCCCGAGATCAGGTGTACTCTGCAAGCACCCAACGAACACCCCTCTCTCCCATACGCCGCATGCAGTCGTATGATGATACGACGGGATCCAGCGACCACCGGCCCTCAGTCCACGAGCGGCTAGGTGGGGGTTCAGGCTCCCGTGAAACGGGAGGGCGAACCAGGGTCAGCATCGCTGCATCCAGAGCTCTCACGCCATCGGTTCCTCGCCAGATCCCGCGGGGAGACGAGACCCCAAGGGTCAACACCGTTGGACGGCGTTTCCAACGGCGAGGTGCGCAGATCTTCAGGCGGCCGCACGATGCTGTGGCCGCTCAGCAGAACGCCACCCCCGAAGCTGCGCCTCCTGTGTCCCCCGGAAGGGCCGCACAGGATGCGAGGCTGGAAGCGATGGAACGACAGATAGCCGAGATGAATAGACGGACGGACGTCGGCTCGGCCACACCCTCTTTCTCTCTCACATCACCCTTCACTCCACGGGTGATGAGCGTCGAGATTCCCCGGGACTGCAGGCCCCCGGGCAATTTGGTGTACAATGAGGTTGGTGATCCCAAGGCCCATCTGATTAGCTACCAAGGGAACCTGTCCATGCTGGGAGCATCGGACGAGGCCATCTGCAGATTGTTCTTCAGCACCCTCAGGGGGCCGGCGCAAGAATGGTTCGGCCAGTTGAGACCGGGCACCATCGACTCATACGAACAGCTTTCCCGGCAGTTCATGGCTCAGTTTGCCGCCAGTACCACCCCCAGGAAGGACGTCACGGCTCTCGCCCACATCAAACAAGGGCGGGACGAACCGCTGGCTAGGTTCCTGGTAAGGTGGAGGGACGAGGTCCTGCAGGTCGACGATCTGGACGAACGTCTGGCCACCAACATGTTCACCAGTGCACTGGCCACAGGGGATCTATACCGGGACCTAAGGAGGAATCCCGGCACCAGCTACACCGAGGTTCTGGCTCGGGCCCAGAAGTACGCCTCCATTGAGGAGGAGATCAGACAGCGGGACGGAGTTCCCGCGGCCCAACCACGGAAGATGGCGGACAGGCTCGGACCCGGACCAGGGGCCGGGCCCTCCCCCCCAAACAAAAAGAAGAAGACGGACGGGGCGATGGTCCCCTAGAAGGCTGCGTCCGGGGATAGTCAGGCGCGGCCGGACGACCGCTATGTCCCGTTGGCCTACCCAGTGAGCGAAATCTTTGAGGCCATCAAGGATAAGGGCCTCCTGACGGAACCCCAGGATATGAAGAAGCATATGGGGCTTGATCAATCGGCCTATTGTGAATACCATCAGAGGGCCGGCCACCTGACGGACAATTGCAGCCAACTAAAGAAGGCAATCGACGAGCTGATCCGTCAGGGGTACTTAGGCGAGTTCACACAGCTGCTGAACAAAAACAGCCAGCAGAGGCCGAACCCAAGGCCCCGAACATGGCGCCGCGATGACCGGCGCGAGGCAGAGCCCCAGGATGTGGATTATCGAAGTGCGGATAAACGTCCGGAGGGATCCCTTGGCCCGAAGGGCAAAAAGAAGAAGCTGGAGATCAAGGTGATCTTCGGAGGCGCTGAGACAGGGGACACGCCCGCCGAGCGGAAAAAGTTCGAGAGATCACTCTATGTGGGTTCCGTATCGGCACCCCCCACCAAGCGCAACAAGATCGAGGCAGTCACCTTCGGTCCCGCCGATCTGCCGATGTCACCAGCGCCGCACAGGGACGAGCTGGTGATCAGCATGGACGTGAACGATGCCATCGTCCGCCGCGTCCTCGTCGATACCGGGAGCAGTGTGAACGTCCTCTACTGGGAGGCTTTCGAGGGAATGAAGCTCAGGAGGGACATGCTGCACCCTCTGCGTACCCCGCTGTCCGGCTTCACCGGGGATTGCATTGACGCTGAGGGCACCATCACCTTGCCAGTAGAAATCGGCGACGGCCCTCACACCGCCATGATCGGAATGACGTTCGTCGTGGTCCGCCTGAAGTGCGCCCACAACGCCATTTTGGGCCGACCCGGCTTGGAAGACCTAGGGGCCATATGCTCCGTACGGCACTCATGCATCAAGTTCCCCACCGACACTGGAGTGGGGGTAGCACGTACGGACCCGCATATGGCCAGGGCCTGCTACACGAAGGCCATGGAGAAGCTCAACGAGCGGGAGGCTCGGGTCAACAGCATCTCCGAGAAAGCCAAACAGGCCGACTTGGACGCCCATCTGGAACCAGCTACCTTGCTGGAGGAAATCGAGCTCGACGACCCGACGGACAGGAAGGTGTCCATCGGTGCAGACCTAGAGTCGGAGATCAGAGCGGGGGTCATAGCCGTCCTCCGAAGGTTCAGAATCCTGTTCGCCAGAGGGCCGGAAGATATGCCGGGCATCGACCCCGA